ACATTTTCTCCTTATGTTGACAATGTCCTACCTTCATTGGTGTTCTGGCTGATGATGCACTGCCAGCAAAATCATGGGGCAACTCCACCATATATTCACTGGGCTTGACACAGCATAACATTCCTGTCTGTGTTTTAACTGTTGTAAAATGTTTTTGCTCTTTTTTATTGTTGATCTCTTTGCCATCCTGGGCTCCTTGGAGAGGAAAGGAGGGTTATAAATAAAATAACTAATGAATAATAAAAATAAATCATAGGTTTCTCCCTCTGCCAGCACAGAGGGACTTGGGTGGCTAGCTCCAGAAGAGGACAGGGCTGCTTTACCTTAGTTGCATGTAACTTCCAAGTGTAACTTGTATGATAACCTGCTCAAATTCCCTCTAAAATGCAGCAGCTCTCTCCTCTTTTGCATGTGGCCAACCTAGATGAATTTAATAGCAATCTTATGTCTGCCCAACAAGTCTAGGATAAACTTGCATTGTTTATTATTTTACTCTTTACCCATTTTGTTTCCCATTCATTGTAAACATTTGTTTCTCTAAAGAAAACTCACTAAATGCTAATATAGCAGCTCTTTTTTGTTTACTTTTTAGTGAGGAATCCTCACGAGCAATTAGCTGTACATTTATATAAAAAGAGGCAGAATTCATAAATGAAATGGTATCTGCATGTAGATCTTTAAATTATTCTCAGACCAGTTTCATAGTTCAAGACCAATGCCTATTTTATGAATCACCTTTCCCCTTTGCAGCGGAACAATCAATGTTCCCTGTTGCATTATAATACTGAATCTCTTTGCATAAACTTTGTTGTTGCTGCCAACTAAGAGAGGAGAGGGAAATGTTGTAGGCATGACTACAACATAGACAAGGTGTGACAGACCTAATAGATTGCTTTTGGGAAAAAATGAATGAAGAATTTACTTGACAAAATTGGCCTCAATAAATGACAAGAAAATCGAGGCACATAGCCCATGAACATCTAGAATAAAATGTAAATTTGGTTTTAAATTTTTAGTTGCCACCCCCCCACCATTTGTGTATATCAAAATGTACTGTTCTGCAGAATTGAAATATCCCATATTGTGTGGGTTCCTGTGGCTTCAGAAGCTTTGTTGATGCTGCAGACCAGATCATGCATGCATAGAGATCTCTTGTGCTGACATAACATTAGAACACCACATCGCCACAGTATGCATCTGTGTATTTACAGCACAGCTGCAGGTCTGATGAAACCACTAGCATTATAACAGAAGCCTATAGGATGCTGGCTTGGAGCCACAAACTGAACAACAACTTATCAATGCGTGCAAGTTATTCTTAAAATCCAACATCATATCTGTTAATCTTACATTCTGACCAGAAGCGATTTTTAACAGACCCTCTCTATTAGTTTTCAATGATGGGGGAAGCTCACACAGGGGGCCCTTGGAAGTCACCCATTTAAAAGTGTCTGGCAAAACTGCTGGTGCCAGAAAATGCTAGCATGGTCGCAATTGTGGATTTAAGATTTTTCTTCTTGGATGCTAACAGGATAAAGGAATTACACTCTGGTTTACATTGGCTCTGCAATCCAGCAGACTCTGAAACTGTAATCTTGCAAACACTAAGAGGAAAATGAAGCAAGAAGTAGTTGCCAATTTAAATCTGAGAACAATAGCTAAAACATGTGTCATTTCCTTCTCAAGCAAGATAAATGGTTTAGTGCAGCACAGGGGTCACAATATATACCTTAAATTGAGGGAGATTTGGGTGTAGTTCCACATTGCACAATTCCTTTTTGCATTTAGACAAACATGCGCCAGACCCAGCCACCCTCAAAGGAATACAAGCTAGTGAAAAGCAGCATATAAAGCAGCATGTGGGGTCCAGTATAGGCCAACATTTTACTGGGCCACTTTTTACATGAGGAAAGGCATGATCCAGCTTGTTTTCCCAAAAGGAGATACATTTGTGATGACTCACAGGTGTCTCAAGATGTCAGGAAACAGCAATTGGGAACAGAAAGCAGCTAGACGCCAGCTGGCTCCACAATAATGGAAGCAGTCGGGCACATGCCAGAACAAACCTAACCAGATATTGTACTTAAAAATACTATTTAATATATATGCCAACATTCTGTCATACTCTAGTGCATGGGTCAGCAAACTAAGGTCCGCAGGCCGGATCAGGCCCAATTGGTTTCTAGATCCGGGCCGCGGATGGTCCGGGAATTGCCATGTGGATCGCCAGCGTGCGTGTTCTTTTCCTCTCCCTCTCTCTTCCTCACACGGCGCCATCGCTGGTGCCTCCTCCCTCCCTCCTCCTGGCTTCTCCCCACCCTGCCTAGAGGAGGAAGGGGGCTGGGCTTTGTTGGTGCCAGCAGCAGCAGCGCTCGAGCGGCCGCCATTTTAAGCAGCCCCTCACTGGAGCCCTTTTGCGCGCCACTCATCATCCTGCCGCCACCAGCCCCTGCCACTTGCAAGACACAGGTAAGCAGCCACCAGGGCTCGTGGTGGTCTTGCATCATTCCCCCCCCAAATAGTTTGGCCCCCTACAAGCTCTGAGGGACAGTGGACCGGCCCCCTTCTGAAAAAGTTTGCTGACCCCTGCTCTAGTGTGATCAAGAAACAACTCAAGACAAGGCTTTGCAAACAGGAGTAGGTTTAATTTTCAGTTGTGAGAGTCAAAGGAGTCACTAAGGGCAGGGAGCAGATTAAATGGGTGATGCATGTACTTTTACTTTCTTCCATATAAGTGAATTGTTGATATTCACTTCTAAGGGGGAAAGCTAGAAGACTTATATATCATGTTACAAAAGCCCGGCGCCTATCCCTCTCTCTGCCAAGCCGTGTGTCCCTTTAGAGAATAGAAGACATGGCGGAGACTGACGTGCTTTAAGAAATAATGGTTTTATTCACATATTTACACCTTCAGTCTGCCTGGAAGGGGTCCAGATCTTACATCATGGCCCAGAGTATTGCAGGCAGTCCTTCCTTCTCCCTTGCCAAGATGAATCTCTTTTTTCTTCCCAGAAGCCCCTTGCCCTGCCCACCCAGTAGTTACCCTGGCAACCTTCCAAATCTCCAGTCTCTGGTCACACCTGGTGCTAGAAGTGCCACTGTCTTGTTAACGACCCACAATAGCTCTCTTAATGGCCCTAGTTTGGCCAGGCTACCTGGGAATTCCTTTGCAGTTTATATTCTCCCTTCATATCACCAATAACCCAAAATCCTAGCATTTATTAATTTTAGTATTTAGGGGAACACCCCCAGTTCTGTAACTATATGTACACACCCACCCACCCACACCGGTATATATATATATATATATATATATATATATATATATATAACCACACATTTTATTTCCTTTTAGATTTACAAAGAACTCATACAAAAATGCATCGTGTAAGGACTGGCTAAATAAGTTACACTGAAATTATAGACTAGATATAAGGCAGAATGGCTGACGTAGTTAGATTCATTTGGCAAATCTGCACACGCATTCTCTAAGCACTTCTTAATCTTAAACAACCATTTAATCAGACAATGAGAGAATTTTGCATGCAACAATACAGCCACAATAATTAGTACATTCCATTATGTTTTCTTTCTTCTGGAGAGGCCAAATTAATGGTGCTATCTGTTTCTCTGGCATTTTATTTCTCTAGATGTTGCAGATGAGAATACTAATTTTTTTCTCATTAACGATATTTTTAATTTAAACTTTCTTTTGTCTTAACATTCAGCTTGGTCCTCTGCAGAAGAACTTGGAAAGAAGTCCTATGAGTACAGTGGCATTTACTCCCAAATGCATGTACATAGGACTGCAGCAGCTGTTTCTCTTTTTTACTTGACAATTCCAAAGCCAAGTTTATTTATTATAGAATAAACTGAACCATGAAGTTAGAGGGTCTAATAAGCTGCCATGTATAGTTCCCTGCATGGTGAAGGAATCCCATATCATGAGCATTCCCAACAAATGACTGCCTGGTCCCTGCATGAAGACCTGCAGCAAACGAGAGCTACCCTTCACCTCCCACCCACCACGAACTAGTGATCAAATTGCTCTTACTGTTAAGATGGTTCTCTTGATGATCAGCTGATATCTACCCTGTGACCAAAGTCCATTAAATCTAGTCCCACCATTGCACTTGACTTAATGCTGCTGATATTTTAGTCACTTTTTTGTCTAACATGCAAAACATCAGATTAAAGCATCTTTGCTGTCAACTCAAAATATACTTTTTCAGATTAACAGATAGCTTCGAGATGCAATTACTAAAGTGGGATGGGATTGTTAGGAACTTGGGGTTGGAAAAGGGTGGGGTTGGATTTCTGAGGTTAGTCATCTAGCATTGCCCACCATATTATTTCATGTGAACGAAGGGGTTGGTTTGAAAACATGGGTACGTACCATACAGGCATCATTCTACAATACTCGTATTTTTCATCCAAGAGATTCCTAGTATTGTGAAACTTCACTTGCTTCACAATGTTTTGTACCTGCTGTTAATTTGTGCTACTTAATGAATTTTCTGCGCGGTTGTTTCAACAGCCAGAACACTGTGCTATGCAGCCTCTAAAGCTGTTTCTTAATTATTTAAACTGCAATCCTGGGGGTGCAATACCCACCCCCAGGCTTGTGGGGCTTTACCAAGTGGGTGGGGACCACTCCCACATCCACAGCCCTGCACACATGGCAGCTGGGGTGGAAGTAGGGGAGCAGGCAGACCAGGCCCAAAACAGTCGCAGGATCTGACAGATTAAGGGCTGGCTCAGCCCTGCCCCCTCCCATTCCTGGAAGGATCCCACCCACAGTACTTCCACCTGCACATTAATCAGGTGGAAGCAAGAGCTCCACACCAGCTGACACTACCATCCTGTCCAAACCTGGCACAAAAGGAGTTTGGAATTCTCTGCCATTTCCTGTATTTTTATCTTGTTTTTCACACAGTTGTTGTGAATTCCCCTTGTGAATATTCTTTCATGATAGCAGTTGATGGCTCTTTTTCAGGCAAGGGCCATAGTTCAGTGGTAGAACATCTGCTTTGCATGCAGAAGGTCAAAGTTTTGATCACTGGCATCTCCAGGTAGGGCTGGGAGGGGAACCCTGCCCCAAATCTCGGAGAGCTGCTGAATGCTGACAATACAGTGGTACCTCTAGTTACTAACTTAATTTGTTCCAGAGGTCCATTCTTAACCTGAAACTGTTCTTAACTAGAAGCGTGCTTTCGCTAACGGGGCCTCTTGCTGCTGCACCGCCGGCACACGATTTCTGTTCTCATCCTGGGGCAAAGCTCTCAACTCGAGGTAACTCTTCCAGGTTAGCGGAGTTTGTAACCTGAAGCGTTTGTAACCTGAGGCGTTTGTAACTCGAGGTACCACTGTACTAAACTAGATAGACCAATGGCCTCACTTGGTATAAACAGCATTCCACTGAATGGATTAGCTGCATGGAAAAGGGTTTCCAGACAGCTACCAGAAACAATGAGTAACATGTAAATCAGCCCTGGAAACTAAAGGAAGAATGAAGTCCAACCTTTAAAGATGGGGGAGAGGCGATAGGAAAAGAGGCACAGCAGTGGCTTGTATAAGGCAGCTTTCTGTGTTCCTTTGGCGAATGGGTGAGGCCAGAGTGTCCCATCCTCTGCCTTCTGCAGTTCCAGGGCAACTGGTGGACAGAGCAGAGTAGTTTTTTCCAAGCAAGGAGAAGGGGAAACTACCGTATTTTTTGCTCTATAAGACGCACCAGACCACAAGATGCGCCTAGTTTTTGGAGGAGGAAAACAAGAAAAACAATATTCTGAATCTCAGAAGCCAGAACAGCAAGAGGGATAGCTGCGCTGTGAAAGCAGCAATCCCTCTTGCTGTTCTGGCTTCTGTGATAGCTGCGCAGCCTGCATTCACTCCATAAGACGCACACACATTTCCCCTTACTTTTTAGGAGGAAAAAAATGAGTCTTATAGAGCAAAAAATACGGTAAGTTCCATGTAGCTGTCCCTTCTTGGGCTGATGGTTGAGACTGGGAACTCCCTCTTGCCCTAATGTCCTTCTCATTATTCCTTGATTCCTTGGCGTCATGGCAGAGGCCACTGCAGTATCAGGGAAAGGAGTATCTTGCTTCTCTATGGATCCACCATATTATCAGGCTAAGGTTCTACACAACTGGTTATAAATAGGATTCTTTGTAAGGAAACCTCCTCTGCTGAGTCTGATATGACAAGCATATTTAAAGGTAAGAACCAAGTAGGAGGAATGCATCAGCAGCTATGGATAAATCACTGTTTGTAGTAAATTCAGTTCTATCTCTGGTGTTGGCTGTGAACTAAGCTAGATCATTGCTAGAGTTGCCTTAGCAACCCTTATTTGTTCAGGCATGTATTTTGGTAACAGTACCAACAACTAGAGTTTAGCTTCAGGAGGACTTTCTGAAGCAAAATAAAGCTGGCAAGGGATTTCAATGGTTATATCAGCCTACTGCCTGCAGCTCTCTTGACTGTTTTCCTGACTTCTGGGAGCTCCAAGATTAACCAGTGGTTCCTGCTCTTCAGATTCTCCAGAGATTGAGTTTTCCGTCTACTATGCTGTAGTGCACATATGTCAGTCTTAAGCAAGATCCATAACTCCCCAGTTCATGTGTTGTGTCCCCCCCCCCCGGGAGAATGCTTAAATAGGGCATTTGAGGTATATCCCATTGAGTTCAGCAACTAATAATACTGAGTTATGTCTGCTTAATCAGAATATTGTGAAAGTGATTGCTGAGTCTTTCCTATTAAGCACATGCAGCCATGACCAACTGAACCTTTCTTTGTAGGTGTGCATTCAGAATTCAAGCTTTTTAAGTGCTGTATAAGTAAGAACTATTGTCAAGCTGTCATTGAGAAACAAATTGCTTCTTTCCTTTTGTGAAACCCAGGATTCACTGATGCAGTGGTGTCTAATTGAATTTTTATAGTGCCAGAACAATAGCACTGACAAACAATAGTTCTCAGAGTTTTGATCTGTCACCCATGCATCTTAACACACTCTCAACTATTCTTCAAGCTAAGGAGAAAGGACAGATGAGCAAATGATATAAGGAACTGCCTTTGTCTAAATCAGTGTATCCTCTAGTGTTTCAAACTGTTTCTGTGAGATGCAAGATTGCTTCTTCGGCAATTGCTCATAGCCGAATAAGATTGTCTTCCATGAGCATAGTCTTAACAGTGAGTCCATAAGTGACTGTAGAGGCCAGTTCTGGATCCACACATCCTTCCACAGTGGGAACATGGGTTTCTGGGCAGGAGTTGATCACGGTGAGGGTTTGCCAAGCATGCCACCTTCTTAGAATGTTTCTCCCTTTCGTCCTAAGTCTGAGCATCTTCAAAGCCCATGGCACCTTTGGTAAAGGCTGTTCTCCAATTGGAGCGCTCATAGGCCAGTGTTTCCCAATTGTCAGTGTTTATACTACATTTTTTTATTTGCCTTGAGAGAGTCTTTAAACCTCTTTTGTTGACCACCAGCATTGCGCTTTTCATTTTTATGTTTGGAATAGAGTAGTTGCTTTGGAAGAGACAATAATAAGGCATGAAAAGTCCAACGAAGTTGATGTTAAAGAATCATTGCTTCGACACTGGTGATTTTTGCTTCTTCTAGTACACTGGCATTAGTTTGCATGTCTTCCCAAGTGTAATGTAAAATACAATACAATAGTACAATAGCTTTGTAAACAAGCATTTTGGTTTCCCTGCAAATGTCCTGGTCCTCAAACACTCTGTGCTTCTATCGGGGAAAAGCTGCACTCGCAGAGCTCAGGCGATGCTGGATTTCGGCATCAGTGTTGGCCCTCGTGGAAAGATAACTGCCCAGGTAGGAGACGTGATTGATACTTTCCAATGTTACACCACTGAGTAGGATTTGTGGTGCTGCACCACTTTGGGTCTTTGGATGTTGAGCAATAGGCGAAGCTTTTCATAAGCTTCTGCGAAGATATTTTGGGTGGTTTGGGGGTCATCCTCTGAGTGTGCACATACTACGTAGTCATCAGCATACTGAAGCTCTATGACGAAAAACCTTACTCTTTGCTTTCAGCCTACTCAGATTAAAGAGCTTTCCATCTGTTCAAGATTTGATTTCTACGCCAATGAGGAGTTTCCCTTCTACAATGTGTAGGATCATGGCAATGAAAATATGAAATAGAGTTGGGGTGATAACACAACCCTGTTTAGCACCTGATCCCACTGTGAATGGTTCATTTTGAGAGCCATTGTTATCTGTGATTGTTGCTGTCATGGAGGAGCCGGAGGATGTTCAAGACAAGACAAATAGTGGGTTCAATGGTCAAGAAGGTGGTTACTCTTTTCCTTTAGACCACATAAGCAAGGCTGTGGGCAGGGCTTGTCATCTAGGCAGCCCAGGACCTCCATACACACTGCCCAGGCTTGCACCACGGAGAGGTCACTTAGGTGCTGCTAGCACAATGGTTTGACTTCACCCCCAGAGGTGCACTCCATTGTCTCTTGAGACAGATGGATGGCAACAACAACTATGCCACGGTAAATTGAATTAATGTTTGTAGAGGTAGATTTATCAGTTCTCCTTAGCAATGTAACTCAAGGATAGAACTCTCTTATTATGAGCTGTGTTCATCATATTATGTTATGATATAAATTCTTTTGGGGTAGTCTTCTTTCTTCATGTTTGGTTTTTTTCCAATTTAGAATTGAATACATGGACATTTGATTAGGGTGAGGAAATAGGATGCTACTGTGGCAGTATTGAACTGGCAAAGAAGAATCAATTTTATTGACTCCTAATTTCATATCATTTCAACCCCCTTGGCATCTTCTTCATATGGCTTGGATCCATGAACATAAGAAGAGTCCTGTTGGATCAGAGCAAAGGCCTATGTGGTCCAGCATCCATTTTCCACAGTGGCCAGACAGTGATCAATGGGAAGCCTATAAATAAGTCATGATGGCAGATGCACCCATGGTTAGGAGTCCTAAGGGGAAGGGGAAGCATTTGTTCTGTTGGGGTAAATGGAAAAACATTGCTCGGATGGCATATTTTTAATTATTTGTGTGTAATTTTCAAAGTCCGTATACAATGAGTGAAATTTATATTCCAAGCTTCAGTAGCAGTAATTTACAGGACAAAAAGTGCAACCCACAGTGTTGCCCGGTCGTGCAGAGCCAAACTTTGTTTGCCAGCTCTGTTAGGCCACATCCATCCTCTTCTTGCTGAAGCCACTTCCGATTTGGTAAAGAGAGCCTCTGCCTTAGAGATGTGAAAATAGCTCACTACAGAATTGCTAAGTAGCTGGTCGTGTGCAGTTTTGAACAAAATGTTCATCTATTTCAGCATTTTTAGGAGCTCTGAGGTGAAGCAAGTTTGATCTAGAATAGATGTTCATTATCAATAATTTGTGATTGAGGTTGGACTCTCATCATCAGAATATTGGATTTTGCCTGTGAAATAGGAGCCAGAAAGATGCGTGCTAGCAAGTTATCATGAACAAACTGGAGTCACATCAGCAGCTAAGCTATTCCACTTGAAATTATTTATGATTACTTATTGGATGTTGTTCAGGCAAATGGTGAAGGGGGGGAATATGGTTGTGGGTGTTTCCTATTGATGAATGGATCTGTTCTTTTGAACAGTAAGGAATCTTTTAAAAAAGAAAGAAAGAAAGAAAGAAAGAATTGCATAGTTCTCTGGCTATTGATCAGCAGCCAGAGAACTTAGCTTTTAGTGAAATTGCATTAGAGGGGAAAGAGTGCACTTTGACATAACCTTTCTGTTGAGTTCTTTAACTGCTTTGAAATGAAACCCCTTTTTTTTATTTTAAAAAAAAAACATTGGCCAAGCTCTTTTTTGTTCAGTATATTTGTTATCTTAAAAAATAATAATATGGAATTCAGTTCTGTTTGTTTGTTTGTTTTTAAATGCTATTTAAACCTGTTTTACAAAAGCATTTTGTTTAGCAGGAGTATATATAAAACTGCAATTGGTACAAAGAATCCATATTTCCAATGTCTGTCACTATTAAAATCAGAGTTTTGACAGCCCTGAAAGGATACATGCAACCAAGTATATACATTCCCAGTGATGGTAGCTGTATAGGGTGAATCCATATACGAACACGGAAATAACAAATAAATCAAGCGAAGTAAAAAGTTCAGAGAAAAGAGAACATAAGGTCATTTCAGCAGATTTGATTCCAGATCAAGAATCATTTTTTTGCATAAAGGAAAGCATGGTTTAAGACAGGTATGGGGAACCTCAGACTGAGGGACTGAATACAGCTCTCCAAGATTTTCTGTCTGCCCACCAAGACTCTCCTTAGGCTCTGCTCTCTATCTTCCTTGGGTGCTGTCGCCCCGTCGGAATGTGAGCTTGAACTGTGATAATTTCTCTGGTTTGCCTAGTTGGAAGAAACTTCAGATTTTTTAGCATAGCCTATTTGTACATATGTAAGTCACAAATGTTGCTTCATCTACTTTTTGCCTCTGGCCCTGCCCACAACTGTCATGTGACCCCCAGAAGGCTTCCACAGGGGAATGTGTCACTCAAGCTGAAGATGGTTCCTCATTCCTCCTGATTTAAGGTGAAGTCCTTATTGCTTTGAAGTCAATGGTGTTTTCATTTTGACAGCTGTGAATTGTAACAATCTGTAACGTATTGTCGGTTATATGCAAATTTCTGGATTTTGATTTCCAATTGATTATTGTTTTTCCTGTGCCAGTGAGGTAGATGAGAATCTAGATGTAGATGATCAAAGAATTGTAGAGTTGGGAGGGACCATGAGGGTCATGTAGTCCAGCCCCCTGCAGTGCAGGAATCTTTTGCCCAACATGGGGCTCAAACCCGTGACCCTGAGATTAAGAGTCTTATGCTCTACCGGCTGAGCTATCCTCTAAGAGTTGCTACCGTTGTAAAATAATAATAATAAAAAAATCAGGTTGCAACCCAAATTTCATATATCAATGAATCCTTCAGGATACTTTTCAGATCTTTCCTCTCAGGAGCCGCAATTGGGGAATGTGCCCACCCCTCAGCTTGCCCCTGATAGGGCAGTTTTGAAGGCTGGCCAGGGAGCCAATAGCCGGTCTCCATGGCAAAATCATTTTGCTCTCTGGGGGTGTGAGGGTCTGCTGTGCCAGGCTGCAACCACCCCCCACCTTCTGACCAGGTAAGCGGCCATTATCAACCAACTCTCTAAACCACATTTTAAAGGGGAGATTTTATTACTGTCTTACATTAGAGATAAACTCTAAGTGCTAGGGTTTTTTTTAATTCAAGAGTGCAAGGAAATTACATATTCATCAACATGTCAATCAAGGTGAAGGTACGCAGGATTTTGCATAAATGACACAACACAAATGACTCTTGAGAGATTGCATTATAAAATGCAAGAATTCTGCATCAATACAACCAATATTATTCTTCTCACACCCTTTTTTAAGTCCTTACACTGGCCTCTTGTCCATTCCCATATCCTGCTTCCCTGGCATTTATCTCCCAACCCTCCTATCCCAATATATCCCTGTCTGTGATATTCACTGCTCCTGTTCCACCACCCATGGTCATCTGAAGGTCCCTTTATCCTTCATAAATGTATCTTCCTTTTCTGTCCCTAATGTCTAGAACTTTGTCCCAGAACAGCTACATGATACCAGAGCTCTTTCTCTCTCCCTTCTTCAAAACCTTTTATCTCTTTTTCCCCATCTCCCATAAAAATGAAGCCTAAGGAGTTATAAGTGGCATCTTCTCATTTACTTCACCTTTTGTAAATGGTAACCATTGGGTCAATTTAACAATAAATGAAAACATACTGGCATGCATGCTATAGATATAGATGTATAATGCTATTATGTTAATCATCTATACAGTTTACAGGAATAGTCTTATGATATTTACTATGGATCTTTTTGGCTGCTGCAGAGAGCTATGCTGTTCTGTAGTTTCTACTGTAGATTTATGAACTGAAGCAGCAAGCTTCAGTAGTACTGAAGCAAGCCATCAAACTAAATTCAGAATATTTGAAGTCAGCTGGTAGGTCTCTCCTTAAATCTTCAAAGCCCCATTGTGCCTCTGGCTTGCGAGGAGACCCTCTCTGGAGCCTGTAAGGATGTCCCCTTTGGACTCTGGGAGAGTCTTTTTGTGAGCCAAATGCACAGTGGGGCTTTGCTGAGGCCGGTCAGGTCTCTCACCCCATTTCCAGAGCCCAGATGAGAGCTGCTAGAACGCTGTTCCAGCGTGTTCTAGCTGAAAAAAACCCCTGGAAACACAGATGCCATTTTTGTCTGGAGCTTTATAGTAAAGATTTGTATTTTCCTAATATTATGAAAGTGTCTGTATGAATAACTTCTCTAGGTCTAATTAAATCTCATCTGGGATTATGGAAAGCTGCATTGGTTTGCTTTCAAACTCCAGCTATTGTTATTATGTAAGTTCAATCTGATTTTTCTGATGGTTCACCTCAGCTGTCCCATCCTTCTGAAGCAGTTTGTTTGTTAATTCAATAAAGGCAGCACATTGTGTACATTCCCAGCCCCCCACGGGGTGAATATTGACATGATGCTGTTAAATTGTTAGTAAAAATGAGCACGCAAACTTCTTCAGAGAATGGAAAGATTGTATTATTGACCACTCTGCATAGTATGTCTGCTTTCCCTTGGAGATCACAACTCTTTAAGCAAGCAGTTTTAAGTCATTTTGAGAATGTTTTTTAAAATGTTCCTTTTGGGGGGAAATGATTAGAAAACACAATCAGTATTTTTCATCCAGGCTTTTGCATAGGATACAATTTTGGTGGATGGTGACCTTCTGTTACATACAGTTTTATGCCCGAAGCACTTTTTAAGCACTGGCAATGATTAACATTTGAGCAGTGCTGTGACTAGCGGCTCAGGTGCCCACGGGACGGGGTGAGCTGGGCAGGGTGTGCTGCGCAGAGCCTTTATAGAGTCCATCCACTGCCTCCCCCTCAGCTATAGGGTGCCTGAGGGAGAGGCGGCGGGCAGTTGCAAGCCCCACACTGCCGTTTTGGGCAGTGTGGCACCTGCAGGTGCCCGAGTCACCGTGTCACTCCTAGAAGAAACACATGGCCCAGGCACCCTGCATCCCCCCCCCCCCGCAGTGTGGTGCCCAGTGCACATAGCTGCCCCCCCCCAGGTACGCCTCTGTATTTGTGTTAAATTGCTAAGTAGATTGTTTTGCACTTCCTTTTGCCTTTCCTCTAGTTATGATTCTGTTCTTCCTTCCAAAACTCCCAATGGTCAGCGTTCTCAGAGATTATTCATGTGGTCTTTGACCCTCATCCTCCCCACAATACCCTCTATTTAATGTTATCATATTGCCTTTTTTACCAGGATGATAGGAGTACATTTCAAAATTTGACTTCCTTCCCCCTCTTTCTGTGGTTTCTTAACTTATTTTTAATATTTTCTGCATATCCAAATTAATTTAATTTGATCATTTATTCGTCTACTTTAAATATATACTCATAAAGCTGCAGGTTATTACAATAATCCTACCAATGTTCTTATCTGTTTAAAATTTGTAAATATTCAATAAATCATTTCCATCCTTTTATAAAAAGTTTGTTATCTTGATTTCTTATTTTTTCGGTATATTTTGCCATTTCTACATATTCCATAAGTTTTTGTATCCATAATTTCATTCTTCTGTTGTTGTTTTTTTAAATGATATTTATTAAAGTTTCAAATAAAAAGAAACACATCAATAAAAGAGAATTTAACAGTAAAAAGAAAAATACACAATACAGAATACAAAATTAAAAATAAAATAAAAAGAGAAAAAAAACACAATTAAAAACAATTCTATCTTTTCATTACTACTTTTGGATTTGCTTATTTTCTGGACCTCCTCATACCTCCCTCTTTTGTATTCCAATTTAGTTTATTTGTCCAGCAATTCCTTTCCCTCTTTTTTAATCCCAATCCTTAATCTTAATATAATATAACATTAAATTTTTATCTATTAATAACCAATTTTCCATTCTTTTAACCTTATTATTCCTAATCCTTAATCTTAATCTATATATAACTTTAAAGCCTGTATAGCTAGAAACCATTTAATTTCAATCCAACATCGCTCTAACATTCATTAATTTTGCAGTATTTCTGTAAATAATCTTTGAATTTCTTCCAATCTTCTTCCACCGACTCTTCTCCCTGGTCACGGATTCTGCCAGTCATTTCCGCCAGTTCCATATAGTCCATCAGTTTCATCTGCCATTCCTCCAGTGTGGGGAGCTCTTGTGTCTTCCAATACTTTGCGATGAGTATTCTTGCTGCTGTTGTTGCGTACATAAAGAAAGTTCTATCCTTTTTTAACACCGTTTGGCCGACTATGCCCAGGAGAAAGGCCTCTGGTTTCTTCAGGAAGGTATATTTAAATACCTTTTATAATTCATTATATATCATTTCCCAGAAAGCCTTAATCTTTGGGCACGTCCACCAAAGGTGAAAAAATGTACCTTCAGTTTCTTTACATTTCCAACAATTATTATCGGGCAAATGATAAATTTTTGCAAGCTTCACTGGGGTTATGTACCACCTGTATATCATTTTCATAATATTCTCTCTTAGGGCATTACATGCCGTAAATTTCATACCTGTGGTCCATAACTGTTCCCAGTCAGCAAACATAATGTTGTGTCCAACGTCTTGTGCCCATTTAATCATAGCAGATTTCACCGTTTCATCCTGAGTGTTCCATTTCAGCAGCAAGTTATACATTCTTGACAAATTCTTAGTTTTGGGTTCTAACAGCTCAGTTTCTAATTTTGATTATTCCACCTGAAAGCCAATTTTCCTGTCCAATTTAAATGCCTCCATTATCTGAAAATAATGAAGCCAGTCTCGCACTTTGTTTTTTAGTTTTTCAAAACTCTGCAATTTCAGTCTATCTCCATCTTGTTCCAAAATTTCCCAATATTTCGGCCATTTGACCTCCATATTGAGCTTTTTCAAGGCTTTCGCTTCCATTGGTGACAGCCACCTTGGAGTTTTATTTTCCAATAGCATAATTTCATTCTTCTGAGGCATAGTTAAATAAATAACACTTACAGGAAAATGCATCATAATCCCCTTTCCTTTTCAGCTCTCTATCCTAGTCTGCTTTACAGTTGTTAATTTAAACACACATGATACTCATCAGCAGCACATGATCTGGTCAGATAAGGTTAAACTGCCAAAAGCCATGAAAAGGGGTACACAAGGCTTAATTTGTGTCCTTAATCCCTTTTACTGCTGTGCCTGCCAAAGTTATTTAAAAGACTGTATCCATACCCTGATTCTTTAGGCAGCAATTTGTCTCTTTGAGAAACAGTTTTAGGATTTTGCACATGTATGTTTCCGTCTATGTCAAAGTGTTTTTACAGTTTAGAAGTAGCTTATACCAGGCTGCAATGTTTGCCCAATTCATCAGTTAGATTGACTGGTAAAAAAACCTTTTGATTGGCTGAAAAGGCGTCCAACTGATATTAAACAGAAAGTGGCTTACAAGGCTCTGAAACACGTCAAAATATAATTGTTTTAAAAAAAGCCAAAACTAGTATTTGAAGATTTTTTTCAAGAACAGCACAAACCAGAATGTAATCTCCCATATGTAATCTCCCAGGGAGGGAGTTCCAAAAGTGTGGAGCCACCACTGAGAGAGCTCTGTCCCTTGTACTCCCCAGCCTAATAGCTCTTGCTGGCAGATCAAACAGCAGAGCCCTCTCCTTGTTTATCTCAGTGCTTGGGCAAGCTCATTCCATTGTAGGTGGTTTTTCAGATAGCATGGTCCCAAACCCTTTGTGGCTTAAAAGACCAATACCAGCAACTTCAGTTGGGACCAGCAAAATAGGTAGCCAGTGTAACAGATGCCAATAGGTATAATGTGAT